ATTTAATTTAAATATAGTTGTGTGTACCATGACGGGTTATTTTTGGGCATTGTAACATTATCTTTATGACAATTAAGCATATTTACCTGAAATTGCAATCTGCTTTTTTGCATTACTGTTTTGTAATTCCCATTATTCTCATTATTGTAATACAATCATTTTTCTTCATATGCATAAATTACTTACAACAATTGTGTAACTGTGTAAGTGATTCTCATTACTGTAATACAACTTTTTTTTATTTTTAAAATGTACGTCATACTTTTTTTGCATTATGGTAAGGAGAAATTTGGGACGGGGAAATTTGGGACTAAATTTTTTTTTAGGGTGATGTATCACTCGGACAACTGATCATTTACTAGGATTCATCCATTAATGTAGTGATCTGATGTTAATAAGTTCTTCTAACCTGCCCGACCGACTTTCATTCACTCTCTCTCTCACTCCCTTCATTTGACTCCCTCTCCCCCTTTCCTGGCCCTCCCGTACAGACGAGCAGGGAAAAACAGGAAATGCCTGTGCACTGTTCTCACTGCCTCTGACTAGCTCCCTCTCTCTCACTCTCTTTCTTTCTCTCCTCTTCTTCTCTCCTCCCTCCAGTTGCACTTCTCCCCACATATGACTCATCGGCTGTTTCGCACACCTAACCCCACCGTCCACAGACTCTGAACCAGGGAGGCAGTTGGAACTTCCTCCCATTGTAAGCGTGCCTAGAAAAATGTTTGAGCAGACACGCAAGAATGCCAGGTTATCACTGCGCTTCCAAAACCCGATCCTCAGTTGTTCCATTCAACAGTGATGTAGGATTTCTGGAATGCTGTAAATCGCCTCCAGCTCCATCCACTTCAAAAACTAGAGCTCCCTTCAGTTTGAAGTGGTAATAGAGTCATTTACGCTTCGGGTTGGGTGTTGTTGAAAGCCACCGTGAGGGCACTAGGGCACGTTTGTGAAATGACAGACCTGTCTTCCCTGCTTCAGGCCGGTAGGGGTGCTGCTGCCGCTTCGGGGGGTTGGTCCGAACAGGCCAGTGGTACCCAAAAGGATGGGTCTGACACCAGGCAAACTCCGCATCTGATACTGGCGCAAGTTCCTCCGGGTGGGAACGCCGCTGCCTACGCATCCCGTGGTTGGGAGGGAGTTGGACTGACCGTAACGACTGCTGAAATGAAAAAAAACAAACAAAAAAAAACGACAGTGTCATAAAATACCACTCAGATGCTCTGATGATATTACAGAAAGAGAAAGCAACTTCAAAACTTGTAAAAATTTGAATCAAATGCATTATTATTTATATATATTAAAGGGGTCATATGATGCAATTTCAAGTTTTCCTTTCTCTTTGGAGTGTTACAAGCTGTTCGTGAATAGATAAGATCCCTAAAGTTGCAAAGACTAAAGTCTCAAACCCAAAGAGATATTCTTTATAAAAGTTTAGACTGGTCCACACCCTCCTAAAACGCCTCGTTTAAACACGCCCCCACATGTCTACGTCACAATGTGGGAAGATTTGCATAACGCCGCCAAATGTTCACACAAAGAAAGAAGGTGTAACTTTATTGTTGCTGCCACCACCGCCGCCACCATGTTGTGAAGACGCTGTGTGTTTAGTTGCGAAAGCGAAACTACTTTGTTTGGTCTTCCAAAAGATGAGGAAAAACAATAATGTACAGTATGTGGAAAATAATGTGTTTATGCGGTTTAAGGTAAAAAAAAACACATTTCATTACACCAAATATAAAAAATAATGTTCTTTTTAGCAACATCATATGACCCCTTTAAACAAATAAATATTATTTATATATTGAAATATAATACAGTATAATATACAGTATATGCAGAATTAATTATTACATAATTTTTATACATAATTATTATATAGTGGGATTAATTTTATATATATATACACACATCGGGTAAAATAAGTATTGAACATGTCACCATTTTTCTCAGTAAATATATTTCTAAAGGTGCTGTTGACATGAAATTTTCACCAGATGTCGGTAACAACCCAATTAATCCATACATACAAAGAAAACAAAACAAACAAGTTCAGAAATTAAGTTATGTGTAATAAAATGGAATGACACAGAGAAAAAGTATTGAATACATGAAGAAAGAGAGGTGCAAAAAGGCATGGAAAGCCAAGACACCTTGTCAGTAATCTGTCAGTAATTAGAAAGCAATCCTGCCCCGGGCCCAGTCAATCACCTGACTTGAATCCAATAGAAAATACGAACTAAAGATTAGAGTTCATAGAAGAGGCCCATGGAACTTTCAAGATTTGAAGACTTTTTGTGTGGAAGAATGGGCCAAAATCACACCTGAGCAATGCATGCGACTAGT